GTAAGATCTTATATTCTCTTTCGTGAAATATGAGTGAGATTTGTAAGATCTTATATTCTCTTTCGTGAAATATGAGTGAGATTTGTAAGATCTTATATTCTCTTTCGCGAAATATGAGTGAGATTTGTAAGATCTTATATTCTCTTTCGTGAAATATGAGTGAGATTTGTAAGATCTTATATTCTCTTTCGCGAAATATGAGTGAGATTTGTAAGATCTTATATTCTCTTTCGCGAAATATGAGTGAGATTTGTAAGATCTTATATTCTCTTTCGCGAAATATGAGTGGAATTTTGTAGGGTTAAAATAGCTACAAAATAATTTTATAAAATCATTTAAACTTATGGTCATTTAAAATCATATGGAACAGTCTTGCATAAGTAATTTGCGGTGTTATATAAATATGTACAATATATAATATTGAGATGAACGCTATTATTTTATTAGTTAAAAATTTTTTTTGAGAAGAAATATTTGAAGTAGTTAACTGTTTTATTTATTAACATATGCTAACAACTAAAAGTTAGTTATTAACATATGCTAACAACTAAAAGTTAGTTATTAACATATGCTAACAACTAAAAGTTATTAGTATATGCTAATAACTAAACAATTTACTACTTAAAACAATTTGTTCTCGAATAATATTTATAATTAAAAATATAACAGTGCTCATCTCACAGTAAATGTATTACATATAATATATTATATAATATATAATATATTATACGACAAATTATTCATGCAAGACTTCCATACTACAGCGCTAATTGAAATTATAAAATCAAGCTATTTTTTTATAATTTTTAATTACAGATTAGATAGAATAATACTCATAAAAATATAATTGACTAAATTTTTTCTCCGTTATTTACAAATTAAATGAAAATACAAATACAAGTTAATTTAGATTACATTGATGCTCAGCAAATGATAAAACTATACAATATAAAACTGCGCACAGTTCAACTGTTTAAATATTTCAATTTTATATCAAGTTCCATTTGATAGATCTCGTTTACAGCTGTGTCAACAAAGTATTTTACAATGGCCTAATTTTTCTACAACTACACAAATTGTTTGGGGTATCTTTCTTTAGCATTTTCACCAGAATTCTTTCTTTAGCATTTTCACCAGAATAATTTATTTTTGGATCGACTTAGTAAAACTTTAAATTTTCTGTACCGAGATATTTTATGCAAAATTAATATTATTTTATGACAATTCGTAATCAACAATGATGCATAGATCAACACCTTCCTGAATCTATAGTTTAAGAAAGAAAAATGATTATGTTTATTTTTATTTAACTGTTATAATAAATAACTACTCAAGACAAAGATTAATAGCATAACCTAACTGAACAACAACCTATTGCATATCGATTTTTTATTCCAAAAAAATAAATATTAGTACATATTTCTTTTTCACTAGTATAAAAGTTATATCATTTTTTTGACACGTCTTCATAATGACTTGTTTATAAAATTCTTAATTATCAAAAATTATCAAAAGAGTTTTCTCACCTTATGCAATGCTATCCCCTCATTCAACATGACTGCCGATGCAATTGTTTTTGTTTGACGTCAGAGCGTCTTAATAGATAAAAACTGAGCAAGACCTTTTAAAATCTTTATAAGATTTGTAGTTTTTTTTCTGATTAATTTCTTAACAAGATCTTAACAAGTTATTTAAAGGAATATTTCAAAAAAAAACTTATTAAGATGCTAATAAGTTCTTACTAATTTATGTAATATAAGAAAGATCTTACAAATCTTAATATGATTTGCAAGATTTGTCGCTCTGGGTACATTACATTTTTTTTCTAAAGTGTTACAAATTGAGACGTAATGTAGCATTAATAAAATCTATGTTTGAAACGTATTTTAGTTACGTCTCAAATCTTGATTGAGTTACGTTACGTTTCAATTGGTATATAAATATATATATATATATATATATATATATATATATATATATATATATATATATATATATATATATATATATATATATATATATATATATATATATATATATATATATATATATAAATCTTTTTAATTTTTAGTTTAATTTTGTTATTAGTAATATGTCAACACATACAAGATATCAAGTTCATCAATTCATAAGACAGCATCGTTTATCTATGTCTAATAAAAAAGGCAAAAAAGTTGTTTCATTTTTATTTGTGAATATTTTTCTTAATTTGATGGTCAATTTGTAAATTTTTTGACAAAATATTGTAAAAATCGATCTTTAAGTCAAAGAGTTGATGAAAACTTCATGAAACCTATTTCATGAAACCAATGAAAAATTAATGTAACCTAATTCCTAACACTTTTTTGACAAGGTATTGTAAACGTTGATTTTTAAGTTAAAGAGTTGATTAAAACTTTATGAAACCTATTTCATCAAATAAGACAAAGAGTCGTAAAGTAGCAGCTATCGATTGATTAACTAGTTCTTTAAATGAACTGTTATATGGTAGTAGTTGTAATTTTTTTAAAGATGGCAGAAGAAAGAATGTGAAAGTAGTTCGAAGTTTATCTGTAAAGCAATCTTCTAATTCAGAACATGCTCAAAACACTCTAAAAAAAGCTCTAGCACCCATATTAGATAATAATATGAGCAAATCTGATTAGGGGTTGTCCATAAATTACGTCACGTAACCTTTGATCATTTTCGACCTCCTCTTCCCCCTCGTCACAAAATCGTAACACTTAAGAAGCAAGTTTTGTATGAGTTGTCACAAAACCACCAACCCCCCACCCCCTTTTAGTGTGACATAATTAATGGAAGACTCCTTACCAACACTTGAGAAATAATGCTTTGAGTAGAGATTGCAATTTCAATCCTGCGCTCAATAATGTTCGTGCTAGTAAAGAACAATGTCTTTCTAAACAAATATTATGAACTTTTTATAATTTTTCTGGAAAAATAAACTTTTAAGCATTAGTCGATTATACAGCAATGCGTCATTCGCAGAAACAATTTATCGATTCCATGAATGATCTTGAAAGACTAAGATTACGTTCTAAAGTTCGGTTTGATGGATCAACTAGCCAAAGGACTTATACTCAGGTAACAGTTGAGAAAGGAAACCAAAATCTTTTAGAAGAAGCTAAAAATATGTCATTGACAGAGATAGGTCTCTGCTTCGGCTTTTAACTTTCCATGCTTGAATTAAAAGCATTAAATGTCTTCTTAAAATTAGTTATATATTAACAGTGAAAAAGCGGTCTACAAGGGCAACATTTGAAAAGAAGTTTATCCAAGGACGAAAACAGAAAATTCAAATAAGGTTTCGTGATGAAGTTGGACTAGTAATTGATATGCCAATGTCTGGTGGCTCCAAGTCATCAATAAAAGAAACACTACTAAAAGATTTTTTTAGAATGCAGAAAAATTTGCTCAATTTCCTGAACTTAATGTCAGTATGATAAAGATGTTAAATGTTATTTTGTGTGCATTGTCATCTAGCTTTCTAATTGAATCTTCATTATTTAAAGAATACTGCTAAAAAAAAGATGAAAAATATGTAAATCTATATCCCTGGTAAATCTATATCCCTGTACAATGTGATATATTACATTGTTTGTATTGCATTCTTATTCATGGTTAGCAAGTTATAGAGAGAATTACTTTGCCTTATAGCATGTTCAGTGAAGAGACACAAAAAGCACAAAATAAAAACTTAAAGAAGTTTATTGAATCATTTTCCAGAAAGTGTTCGCGGTCAAAAACAAATGAAAATTTATCAAGGCAACTAATGTGTTTTTCTCACCCTTTGATAAGTAGTTTGAGAAAACTATATTATCCTAAGAGCAATGATTTTCTAGTTGGAGTTCTTGATATTCTTAAAGAGGTTTCAAATTTTGAGTATTTATAAATTGCAATTACACAGTTTCGATTTTAGTTGGTATTTAGGATATTATTTACTTTGTTAGTATTTATTATTTATATAATAAAATAATGCATGTTACGTATACAAATGTTTTTGTGAATATGCAAATTTGCTTGTATTCTAACATATACTTTATAAAGTATTCTATAGTTTTTATTGTATGAACGCTTGTTGGTTTTTTTATTTGGTTGCTAAGGACAATTGAAATACATAGATATACTTAGTTGATTGTTTTCAAAGTTTTTATTTTATTTTTTAAAGAAATTTTGAATTAAGCAAAATTTTCATTAAAAAAATTAAATAAACAGTTCCTAAGAGTCCAAAACTGCATAGCAACACCAAAATTTAGTAATTTTTTGTTTGTGTTATTCAAATACATAAAATAGCTTTGTAGCATTATTACCAGTTTAGTTTATAAATTTGACATTTTAAGAAAGTCTCTTAATTTAGGTAACTATGCAAAATGCACTTTTGCTATGGAATATTGGTATCCATAGCAACTTATTATACAATCTAATGGTACCATTAAAGTCTTAGTATAAAATATACTCAACCTGGAAATTATGGGGAAAATCTAATTAACATTTTTAAAATGTTGTTACTTTTGCCCAGCTAATAATGATTTTGGCCCACTGTGCTTTGGTAAGAAATAAATTAAAAGCTCATTTTCTATAAATTGAGATTTACTTAATCAGTGATTTTTAAAACCTGTTTACACTAAAAACTTTTGTTTTTATCAGTAATTGAAGTAATAGTTTTATAAAAAATATTTAGTTTTTATGGCCGATTTTCACAATTTTTTTTGTTGTTGTTCATAACAAGTGAAAATTATTAAACAAGGGGGAAAGGGTCGGTCTTAATAAGCTTGGGGTGGGTGAAAAAATTTTCGAAGATTTTATAAATTCTCCCCCCCCCCCCCCATTTTTTTTTTTTTTCAATAAGGACTTAAGAGTACATTGTTGAAATAAAACATTTTCTGTAATGCTTGTTTTTTCATTTATAATTTGAAATTTAAAACCAGATGACCTTTCAAAATTTTGTTGTAAATTGCTGTATTAATATTTAGTTTTTAACTTTGTAGTTTGTATTGTAGGTATTTTTATGCATTTTGGTATGGTAGAAAAACTTTGTTAAGTGAAGAGTTGAATGAAAATGATTTCAGGCTATATTTAATTAATTCACGAGATGCAGCAATGTTGCGGCTTCTAGAAGCGTTTCTTGAGTCTGCACCTCAATTGGTATTGCAGTTATATATTTTATCACAACTAAATAGAGCTATAGATTTAAATAAAGATTGGATGACTTTCCTTGCTGCAGTAGTTTCTTTAATATCATTATCATGGTCAATTGTTTCTTATTCCAAAGCTTTGCGTTTGTGTGCATTTGAGAATGGGCTTTCACTGTCTGGATACATATTTCAAGTAATTTATAGACTTAGCATGATTGCTTCTAGAATAGTTGCAATGGTTTTATTTGCATCTGAGTACACATGGGCACTGTTTGTGGTAATATTTGTGCATTGGCTTTGCATGTTCATATGGCTTCACTTTCAAAACACGAAGTTCTGTGATAGTTCAAACAACATAAGACAAACTTTTTATGAGTACACTTTTATAAGTGTTTTGGCTTTTGTGTATGTATTTTGTTTTATAAATGCGAAAGAAAGAATGACAAGACAACGTCTTGTAACGTATTATATACTTTTTTTTGTTGAAAACTCACTGATGATTGCAGCTTGGTACGCTTCACGTAGAACAACCTTTGGTATTTTGGAGTATGGAGGCTTAGGTATTGTTTGGGGTGCGTTTATTTTAGGACTAGTAAGTATGTTACTCTACTACAAAATATTCCATCCTAATGTAAATGTCACAGCTGATTGGCTTTGTTGTAGTATATTTCAAAAAAAGTCTGCTGTCCAGAAAATAAATTCCATAAAATGCCGTTATCAAGTTGAAGCTAGTTATCGAGATGAACCTAGTTATCGAGTTGAACCTAGTTATCGAGTTGAACCTAGTTATCGAGTTGAACCTAGTTATCGAGTTGAAGCTTGTTCATTAAGTCAAAGCTCGTTTTTGGATCAAGAGAATGATTTAGAAGAACAAAACTCAAAAATTTGTGAAATTCTGAATTTGCAACAAGTTGATGGGAAGTTGTTTATTGGAGTTAAGTTAACACCTCGAATGGATATTACTTCTTTTATGTTTCCGAATATTTTTGAATAGGAGGTTTATAGATTTTTAAAATTATAAAACAAGGCTTATAAAGTTGAAGATTTGCAAAAACAGTCTTCAGTTTAAAAATTGAGTAATCAAAGTATTGAGTTTATATTTAATTTATATTTGATTATATTCGTTTTTATAATGATAAAAAGGTTTAGTTTTCTATCACGATAGTGATAGAAAACTAAACCTCGTAAAACTAAAGATAGTAAAATTTTCAGAAACATTATTAATAATATAAATATATATATATATATCGATATATGTATTTATATTATTAATAATGTTTCTGGAAATTTTAACATTATGCAAATAATAAGTTTTGTATATACCAAGTTTTATATTAAAAATTTTAATCGAAAAAGTTTTAAATAAATTACCAGTTTATGTTTAACTTTAAAACTTTTACATTTATTTTTTGACTTAATTTTTGTACTTTATATATATATATATATACATATATATATATATATATATATGTATATATATATATAGACTAAGCTAATGCTACTCACAGGACCGGGTTAAGTACTTCTTGGCCTTCCGGCACTTTAGGTCTTCTGGCCCCTGTTGGCTTCCTAGTATTCAAATTTAACAGTAATTTAAAATAAAAATTATTTTGTAATTGTTACGCTATGGTTTTAAAATGCATTTTCTTTTGTATTTAAACAAGCATTACGCATTATTTATTATTAAAAACATGCTGCGATTATTGAAGCTTTCAAAACACCTTTCGTCTGCAATTTAAGCTTGCAATTGCAGATATGATATCTTTCAGGTTAATGGAATCCAAAACCCGGTTTTCTATTTGAACAATAGAAAGATCTGAATGATGTTCCTGAAAAAAGTTCGAAAATGAAGAAAATAATAAGTCAATAAGTAAAAATTAAGATCAGCAGGATATCGGTCAAGATGATTTTGTGCACTGCAAGTATTCTCCGAGATATCCATGCTGCGGGGATTCACAAGAAAACCAAAAAGAGATTTTAATCTAGAATAGGCTTTCTTTCTTTTATCTAGATCACTCATTAGTTTGTCCGTGATCTCATTGTCGATTTTCATTTAAGATCGCCCAGAAAATACTGTAGTTTGCACACTGTATATATATATATATATATATATATATATATATATATATATATATATATATATATATATATATATATATATATATATATATATATATATATATATATATATATATATATATATATTAACTCAAAAGTTCTTTCAAATTGTTAAAAAAATAAAACGTCCACTTTGCGATACGTCGTAAGTGTTGTTATTGCAAAGATTAAAAATCTCTGGGACATGAGAGGAAATCAAGGATAGCAGGGCCGACGACTTGTGGCATCACAAAATCAGTTAACTTTCTAATATTAGACATAAATATAAGCATAAAGTTAGACAACAACAGTATGATGAATGTCGAATATTTTTAACATCAAACAGTTCACTATAATTTTTCTTCATATGAAAATAATTTAAAAAAATCAGTGAAGAATAATTTAATAAAGATCATTCCCCAAAACACTTCGTTAAATCTTAGTTAGAAAATAAAAAAAAAACACCTTTGCTTGTCAATTGTTTAGAATGCAGAAAAATTTGATATTTTAAATGTTTGTACCCTTGAATGATAAAAAAAAATAAAAATTAATGTTAGAAATAAAATAAAAAACAATAATAATTGACAGTATTTAAAAATAAAACCAAAGTTCAAAAAAACCCTGCAAAACCAAAGTTCAAAAAAAAATATTTTATTTGCGAAAACCCCAAAACAAAGTTGATATTATTTGTAGAAAAAAAATTCAAAAACAATTTCAAAAAACATTTATTCTGTAAAGCCCCATTGTATTTTTAAGTTTTGATTTTAATACCCTTTAATGTGGCTCCATTATCAATCAATGAAGAAATGAAACTTCATTGTTAAAACAATGAAGTGCTGATCAAACTGTGTCTGGTGACCTTAATGAAGGAAATAACTTTCCTATTCAGATTTTGAACAGCTTTCTACTTCAAGTATGTCTCATCATTGTTTAAAATTGAAAATCGGTTGTGTAATTTAGATCACAAACGTGGGGTTTGAAATAGCACTAGAATGAAAAATTGTGCAGGTGTTTCTGATGGTAAACCGGTATTTTTTGTTTGAATTCAGGTAGCTCCAGATTGTAATTTAATTTTTGTTCTAAAACGTTGTCAGTTTGCTGTCAGTTTTACTGGCATACTCAATAAAAGTAAAAGCCAAGGTCAAACATTTGATAAAGTTAGTGTTTATCAAAAAAAAAAAATTGTGTTCCTCAACACAGTGTTTTTAGATATATTTTATGTTCGTCAACTTTATGTTGCATGTTCAAAAACATTCAAGAAACATTTAATAGTTGGTTTTTCAAAATTGATAAACAATTAAGGTATGGTAGGTAGAAAATGTTACACAAATAATGTAATATTTTTTTATATTCTTTAATTTTAGTCTTTAGATTTTTAAATTTGAAAGTCGATTGTGCGTAGATTTCGAACACGTGCTGTATGCTAATGTACCTATGTACCAACTCAAATGCATATATATATATATATATATATATATATATATATCAGTGTAATGTAAGATTGTGTTTATTATATAAGACTATATGTATTTATAGCTTGTATATATATATATATATTTATACTATATGGTTTCCATGTGCAACTTAGTAACCTGTAGAGTATGGTTGTTAGGCTAGCCAGCCAAGCTGTGTACTTACAAATGTCTTATGCTGTATGTACTATTTTTGTGTGTTATTGTTGTGATGTTATTTTTGTGATTTGTGTTAATAGACAGCTTGGCTTACCTTCTTATTGGTGACTATCGATAAAAATGAATAGTAGGTGCTTTTATTACATAGACTTACTCCTTTTAATCATTAATTAAAAACCAAGACAACATTTTTCTATAAATTCAAATGTCTTAATTTGATTTTATCTTTAGTATTGTTAATTAGTGATGTACCAATGGCAAAGGCCGATTGTGGCTAGTAATAGGTTTAATGTTTTTGTTTAAGGGTATTATAATAATATTAAGGACGAGCTGAAAACCAGCCCGTAAAAATACGGGTCTTTATAAGTTCCAAACCGAACTTTTTATACTTTTTCCTTATATATTCTAGCTTTCCGGATCCGTAAAGTATGGGTCTTTACAAACCTACTATTTCTATACATAGCTATTCCACACCAATCATTTCTATACCTATACCTTATTTACTTCAATACTTTTTAGTAAAATAATTTTGTTCTAAAAAAAAACTTTAAGAGCAAGTAAATTAACATGCGCACCTTTTCAGCATACGTAGAGCTTATAAGAGACTTACAATTAGGTCTGTTTTTCTGCTATATGCATTTCATTGATAACTCAGCGCTGTCTTCAGTGTTGTTTTGGGGTTTAAGACCTCCTCTTTGCGTGATAAATTTTGAATTTTTTTTAATCTTGCGTATATATATATATATATATATATATATATATATATATATATATATATATATATATATATATATATATATATATATAGAACAAAAAAGTAATAATATAGCAAAAAGTATTTTTAAATTTAAAATAAAATTTTAAAGTTTTCTCATTTTATCGATATATTTATACGCAACTATTATATTGCAATTATTAGAAATGTTCACTTATATTACATACGATCCTGAATAAAACGTTATACAAGTAGGTTTTTTACATTTAAAATAAATAATATATATATATATATATATATATATATATATATATATATATATATATATATATATATATATATTTTCATTTTTGTCGTTGTTTACAAAGATAAACAGACAAGGCTTCTGAAAGAAGATCATAATGACCTTATAATCAGAACCTTTTACAATTTTTTTTAAATCAATACATTAACAAAACTAAAAAATTACAATAAATCGTGATATAAATTGGAAATATAAATCAAACCACTAATGTTATATATAATAAAAAGTCTGATCATATCATCAGATCTTATAAAAACGTACCCAGTGGGCATTTCGACGTCGAACAAACGTCGAGCGACGTCGGATCTCGACGTCGGATCGACGTTGGGTTTACGTTGGAAATGGAAATGTTATTTGACGTCGGATAAACTGACATCGCGCGACGTCGGCATTCCGATGTAAATCCAACGTGTTTTTTGAAAACTAAAAAACTTTGCCTTTGGCAGGAATCGAACCTTGGTCTATTAGATACTAAATTCTATGCGCTTACCACTACACCACAAGGACATATTAATTATTGCGTTTATTTAGTAATTTATACTTATAGCTATTTGGGAATTATTACTTTGATAAGAAATAACTTTGTTTAAATATTATATAAATATTAAAACGAATAGTTATATATTATAAAAAATGTATACTCGAAAATGTTAATAGTTAAAAAACTATGCTAGTGCATTATACAAAACCTCATGATGTTTTATCAACCTTTATTCAAACTTTTTTCCATTAATAAAAAAACACGCTTAGTTCACATAATTATTGAAGAGCGCAATTGCACACATATTGTTGGGTTTGGATTAAATTTTCATCAGCGATGTCTTACGACGTTGTTCCGACGTCGTTTTAAGGACGTTGGATTGACGTCGGAAGACGTCAGAAGATATCGGAATACGTTAATATTATGACGTTGCCCGACGTCTTTTTATCGACGTTGGATCGATGTCAGTACTGCAACGTTTTTTGGACGTCTTTTATAAGATGTCGGAACAACGTCAAAATACATCGAAACGACGTCAGGGGATGTTGAGATAAAGACATCGCCCGACGTCATTTTACTGACATCGGAACAACGTCGGAATAGGTCTTTTGACATCGCTGATGAAAATCAAACGTAAATCCGACGTCGGATTGACGTCGGGTGCCCACTGGGTAAATATATAAATACATATATATACATAGTAAATACAGTAATACATCTCTTTTTTTAAAAGGCAAGAGAAAATACAACAGTCTTACAATTAAAAAGACAAATACGTGATTGTTATATATATATATATATATATATATATATATATATATATATATATATATATATATATATATATATATATATATGTATATATATACATATATATATATACAAAATTATAATTATAACAATTTTTTTTTAATTGCGTTTTTCTTGAAATACGTAATAACCATATTAAGGCGTTTGAAAAATAATTGCAGCATATATTTGTAGTAAAAACGTAAATGAAGCAATTTTTATTTTTCCTCCACAGCAACACCTTCTTGAGTAGCAGGACTTTCTCATTAAGTTTTTTCTTTATTAAGTTTCAGACAATTTGTTGTTTAGACCATCCGCAGCTTATTAGGACTATTACTTGAGCACATTAATAACATAAACATCTCAATCATGACGCATGCGCAACAAATTTTTTCTCCCAGTGATGTTTTTTTATATGTTTTATGAAATTATTAGTTTTCTTAAAATCTTTTCTTTTGTAAAAGTGTATAATATCTTTACATATGTTTGTACATAATCTCTATAAAACTTCAAAAGTAATTTGTTTTTTAAAATAATCGAAAAAATACAAAAAATAAAAAAGAAGAATAGAAATCGAACCTCGGTTTAAATGTTCAGAAGCTCGGCGCCTTATCCACTCGGCCACACTGGTACTCAAGCGAGTATTTTAAAATAATATAATAACTTTTTTTAAGGGAAAAAATGTTATAGCTCAAAATTAATAAGAGCTTGACGCAATGCAAATTTTAAGTGAAAATCAAACTGTAAAACTTCAAAAGAAATACTTCAGAATGTTTTAACATATGTTTTAACATTACTTAATTTTAAGTTTACGTACGTTAGATATTTGGATACACGTTCGTTCACATTTTCCTATAAAACAAAGCTGCTGCAACTCTTTCTCGCTATTACCTCGCTTGCAATGGCTGCCAAGGGTACCGTGTCAAACAGGCTCGAAAGCGTCCCAGTAAGTACAAGTACAGGACGTTTTTAAAACGTTTTAATTTAGTTCAATTTACGGTCGGATGTTAAACGAACCAATGCAATCGTTTTTTAAAACGTTTTTTTGTAAACGTTTTTTTAATGTGAATTTAAACTTTTTTTAGCGTTTTTTAGCGTTTTTTTTTTTAAATAACTTACGAATTTCTCAGTTAGCTTATGAACGTTTTTTTAACGTAATAAAAAAACGTTTTTTAAACGTACAACACGGCATTATCTAAAAGAGTACGTATATTTACGCAAACAATGCCGTGACCTTTGATTAGGCGAATTGATTTATTTTAAGTAAAAGTTATATAAATTAACATATCTTTAAATCAACCAAGTGTTTGTATTGTTTTTTTGTAGAATTAAATTTGAAAATATATTGGAGTATTTCCCAGTAAACACAGGACGCTTTTAAAACGTTTTAATTCCGTTCAATTTACGGTCGGACGTTAAAAGAACCAATACAATCGCTTTTAAAACGTTTTTTTGTTTAGGTTTTTTTTAATGTTAATTTAAACGTTTTTTTAGCGTTTTTTAAGCGTTTTATTTTTTTTATTAACTTACGAAATTTCTCAGTTAGCTTATGAACGCTTTTAAAACGTTTTTTTCACGCGATAAAAAAACGTTTTTTAAACGTACAGCACGGCAATATCTAAAAGAGGAAATATGCTTACGCAAATAATGGCGTGACGATTAGGCGAATCGATTTATTTAAGTAAAAATTATATAAATAATTTTTTTTTTTTTTTTTTTTTTTTGTTATGTTGATTTTAGGTGCCCCAAAAAGTCCTCGCGGTCTTATCACAGAGCACCGCGGAAGAGCATTTAATAGGAAGTTCACGCCTCCTTCCTAACCGATGTCGTAAAACTTTCCCAGAGGTGGGGTTTGAACCACGGATCTTACGTTTCTGAGGCAAGTGCGCTACCACTGCGCCACGGCTGCTTGAGCCGTGGCGCAGTAGTATCACTAGTATTATCATATCTTTAAATCAAAGTATTAAAATCAGTATTATCATATCTTTAAATCAACTGAGTGTTTGTATTGTTTTCTTGTAGAACTAAATTTGAAAATATATTGGAGTATTTTTAGTTTAGAGTTGTATGCCTTCTTTGAAACTAGGTTGTGTTTGAATTTATACTTAAATCAAGTAGATATGATTAATAAAGTTTTTATGATGTGGTTAACTAGATTATTTTACTCTATTGAATAACTTAATTGTTAAGTAAACTTGATTGCTGAAAAAACTAGATTAAGTTTTTAATTCTACTTAATTACCAGATGCGTTTAATGCAAAAAAATTCATTTGAATTTGAGAAAAGGGAACAACATTCTCAGAGTTTTTGTTCTTTAACTCTAAAAATAAAAAATGATAATATCAGTGGTTTTTTTAAAGGAATTACTATAGTTGAAAAGGCTGGAAGAAAAAAATATGATGATTTGTTTCAAAAAAGTGAGTGACTTAGTTCAAAATGTCATTTTAAGATTTTTATTCCTTAATGATATTCTGATGTTAGTACCAAATATTTGGCAGTATGAAACCTATAATGTTATACACCATAACCTATTTTACTTATAAAGTTATTAATCTGTAAAGTAATTTGTAAAAAAATTTTAATTGTAAAGTTGCTACATGAGAAGACAAGTTGTTAGATGAAATTCAAATATTCTCTATGCTTGTGTTCTGTAGGTCAAAAAATAATAAATAAAGATGATATTGATTGTGATGACCAAGAGATTCATTTTAAGACACATCAATCTTCATCATCTTTAAATAAGAAGGATAAACATGATGGATTTCGATTATCTCAAGCAAGTAAGTCTTTAGTTAAAAATAACATTGTAATGTTTGTTGTAAAATGCTAACATGACTATCAATATTAAAAACATCATTAAAACAATGAGGTTCCAATTTTAACTTTAAATAATTACTTTCATGAAATATATTATTTCAATATTATCAAAACTATAAATCTATGGAACAATCTTTCTTGTCTTACCCGAAATCTGAGAAAAACGCTTATATATAATATAGCATTGCCACTATCAAGTATTTTACTGTCTATTAGTTTTTCTCTGACCAGTAAAGTTGTTAAATTATTAAATTTATGTATTTTAAATTTATTTATTTACGTAGTTTTGTTAAGACTATGTAAAGTTTAATTATTGTAAATTTGTTTAGACTTTCATTGTGTGTTGCTTCTCTTAAATGAGATAAAAACCCAAGGATGCAAAAAACTTAATATAAAATAGTGTGAACAAGAAGTAGTAACTGAAATGAACAGCCTAATAGAATTTGATAAGTTTGACTTAGCACTTGATAATGTTTCATCTAGTAACTCTGTTGTAACTCTGCCGTTGTAAATTGCTAAATACTGATTTGACAGATTTTTCTTTTTTAAAAATTTTTTTTACAATATATAATTTTTACTACTTAATTAGGAATTGTCAGTTTTTCCATTATTTCTTTCTATTAGAAACAAAGAGTTCAAAATATTGGTGGTAAGAATTGTAAAAAACTTGGGATAGCTATGATGAAGAGGTTAGTAAATTAAAAGTGCATTCCTATAAATACTCTGTTTAATTTTATAATGATATTACTCCCATCTTACAATCTACAAATCTCATGCATGGCTCAACCTATGCCGTTTTAACATAATGGGATGACTGAATAACCGTGAATTTCATAAGTGCAAACTGGCATAATTGCGAATTCACATAAGTGCAAACTAGCACTTGTGCGAAGCAGTTACAAAAACTGGCACAATGCCAAATGGCATAAGTATGAATGGGCATAGGTGCGCGAAAAGAATTTCCAAACATTGCCATAAGTGCAAACTGCTATAAGTGTAAACTGGTATAAGTGTGAACTGGCATAACTGCAAAGCAGTTATTGAAATAGTTACAGAAACTGGCATATGTGTTAATTGGTATAAGTGCGCTAAATAGATTTACAAACATTCGCATAAGTGTGAATTGCCACAAGTGGGAGCTGGTATAAGCGTGAAGCAATCGCAAAAACTGGCAAAAACGCAAACAACATAAATGCGAAATTTAGCATGAGTGCAAACTGGCATAACTGCAAACTAGCATAAGGGCGAAATGCCAATTAGCACTTAGGCCAATGTTTGCAAATTTATTACATGCACTTATGTCAGTTCGCACTTCTGCCAGCTTTTGTAACTGTTTTGTACTTAATCAAATTTTGCACTAATGCCTATTCGTAATGTTTGCAAACCTGTTTGGGGCACTAATGCTAATTTACACTTTT